ACCCCGTTTATTCTTCTGTTTTAGACCCGGAGTTACATCTGTTATGGTAAGGACTAATTCAATCGTTCATAAAGCACCCCCTGGTGATTGTGCCGTGTGTGTGTTGGGTTGTTGCAGTTTGGCAATAAAGGGAGTCGCTACGTTAAGACATAGCTGGCCCAGTCTCATTAATGTTGCTGCTATTATAAACCGGAGGGCTACCAAAACATGGTGTCAGAAGTGCTCTGGAGGGAAGAACGTCAAGGCAACGGAAGCTTTCTCACCGGAGAGGACTCACCTTGCACGTGGGCATTAACAGCCACAGTAAGAGCTAAGCTAACAAATTAGCAAACGCTAACTAGCATCTGGCGATTAGCAGCATGGCAGCCGCGCTGACAGCTTTCCAGGTATCACCACCGCCGAAGTTCGACTTTTCAAAGCCAGAAGAGTGGCCAAAATGGATCCGACGCTTTGAGAGGTTCAGGATAGCATCCGGACTCGAGCTACAATCGGACGAAAACCAGGTTAACACTCTGATATATACAATGGGCGATGAAGCTGAAGACGTGATTACTTCGTTGAACCTGACCGAGGAGGAGGCGAGTGAGTACCACACTCTTAAAGATAAACTTGAGGCACACTTCGTAGTCAGAAGAAATGTTATCTTTGAACGTGCAAAGTTCAACCAAAGGCAGCAAGAAACGGGAGAGACTGCAGATGGATTTATTCATCCCTATATGCCTTGGCTGAGCATTGTGGCTACGGGGCGCTGCACAGTGAAATGATAAGGGACAGACTCGCGGTCGGAATAAGAGACAAGAGGCTCTCGGAGCAACTGCAAATGGACGCAGAGCTCACGTTAGAAAAAGCAGTGATACGGATTCGTCAAAGTGAGCTTGTTAAGAAGCAGCAGGATCTTCTTAAAAACAACTTCAAGCAGGAAAATCCTTGTAATGTGGACATCATTAAAGCAAAAGTAAAACACTTCAAACCAAGATAGACTATGCCACAAAACACAGAGAAGAATGTGAAAAGCCAATGCAACAGATGTGGAAAACACCCTTTCACAGCAAGAACCTGTGCCCAGCCAAAGAGGTACTCTGCAATCAGTGTAAAAAGAAAGGTCACTATGCAAGAGTGTGCAGGTCTGGGGCAGTTGGAGAAATACGGGCAGCAGGTGGTGACAGTGTAGAAAGAGAGGTAGCATTTTTGGGAACAGTAGCCTCAGAGAGAGCTGAGGATGTGTGGTTGACTAAAATAAAAGTTAACAATGTAGACTGCTGGCTCAAGATTGACACAGGGGCGGATGTAACTGTCTTGCCTGAAAAAGAGTACAATGCTCTAGCACAAAAACCACAGCTGCAACCCACAGATCTGAAACTGTATGGGGCAGGAATGTCTCCACTAGCAGTTAGAGGGAAATTTACTGCTAAACTGAGCACTCCAAGCAAAACTACAGTACAGCCTGTGTATGTAGTAGCAGATCTGACGGGAGGATTACTTAGCCGATCAGCATGTGTAGCACTTGGGTTAGTGGCCAGAGTAGAAGCAGTGCCCCTCACTTCAGTAGAGGCGGTAAAGCTGCAGTTTCCAAAACTATTCAGCGGGTTAGGCCGAATGGAGGGGGAATACAAAATTGAGCTTAAAGCGGACGCTAAGCCATTCGCCCTGTCAACCCCCAGAAGGGTCCCGCTTCCCCTGTTGCCCAAAGTCAAAAGAGAGCTTGCTCGTATGGAAGAGTTGGGAGTAATCTCCAGAGTGGAGCAGCCTACTGACTGGTGTGCAGGAATGGTTCCGGTGCCTAAACCAAACAGAGACGAAGTGCGTGTGTGCGTGGACTTGACCAAACTGAACAAGTCTGTGAAAAGAGAGAGACACATGGTGCCATCAGTTGAGCACACACTAGGACAGCTGGAGGGTGCAAAGGTGTTCTCAAAACTCGATGCTAACTCAGGTTTCTGGCAAATACCTTTGTCCAAGCAGTCAGCTCTTCTCACAACCTTCATCACACCATTCGGAAGGTACTGTTTCAA